CCCATTTTGGCGCCCCCCCCTAAGGTCCGCGCCCGGGTACACATGTCCCCCCTCGCTACGTCTCTGATCTGACGCGGCCCTCGTTTATCTTTGAGATAGTAAGGCTTTCTTTTTCATTAAATAAGTTGCATTCCTACTTTATATTTTTCAATTTAGTACTTAAATATAAACGTAATATAATTTTTCTATATGTTAATTTTTTTTTCAGAGAACTTAGCTTGTTTTTTGTGTTCTTCAAGATATTTTGAACTCACTCAAATAGTACACATTATAGCTAGTTTAGTTTATGGCTAGTTTAGTTTAATGTTAAATTTGTCAGGGTTCTGGGGTTTCTAACGTCGTTGTGATTTCAATTTCAGTTATTTATAAGACATCTTTATATAAGACGAGAAAACATATTAGAAACTCCAGGTTTCGGCGATTGGAGATCATGATTGCTTTAGCACTTTGATCTAGTAAAGATAATTTCGTTGCAAAATAACAAAAAAAAACGATTAAATATGTGCAGTGTTTCTTCCAGACTTTTTCCTCCGGGGGGGCACTTGAAATTTTCGGGGGGGCGGTAGACTTTCTTCGGGGGGTCGGACACTGTTAAAAGTATATATTTTCTATATAAATTATATAAATTTCATTTCGTTCGGGGGGGGGGGGGGGGCGGTAAAAAAGTTTGCCCCCCTCCCGAAGAGATGCCTGGAAGAAACTCTGATGATGACTGGGGCCTACACTAGGTATAAACAACATTACAACCTTCAAATAGCTATGGAGAAAAAACACACACACGAAAAACAAACAGTGTAAGGGTGTGACTCTACTTGTTCAAGATAAACTAAACCTAGTTTTTGAGGATGTACGCTGTGTTGGTTAATTGTTTATGTGTTATTTAAAATAAATTTAAAGTTGACCATAATTTATTTAGCGTGTCCCTAAATTTTTAGGGATCCAAAATTTATCATTATGACTCTATTTTTTTCCATTCTAAGTTATCATGATTTCAAGGAAAAGTATAGATTAGATATTTAATACAGCTACGGGTTTATAATTAAAGTCAAATGATTACAATAAATTTAAAAATCATAAAATAGGCAAAATATTTGTAAACTTCTTTAATATTTTAAACAATAATTAGTACACTTTAATTTGTACTTTAAATTTATTAGTATTGAATTTATATTTATTTTCAAAGTTTTAGCTAACATAGACAAGAGTTATACCCCTGCAATTATGATTTTATCAACAAGGGAATTAACTAATTCGTTTTAATATCGTTTGGGAAGAATATATTTTTCAACATGCCATGATACCAAAAAGATTCAAAATGATGTAACATGATGTAAGAGTGTGAGTCTACTTGTTCAAAACAAAGTATACCTAGTTTTTACAAGCTTTTATTTAACTCACTGTCTCTGTCGTCAGTCTGTCGTCAGTCTGTCTAGATCGAAACGCCCGAGCGAAATTACGGGCGCTTCAAACTGACAGATACGCTTCGTAGTTGGTACGTGGGTCAAGACATGAAGACAATGCAACATGCAATTAAATTTTACTTAATTAGTTGCCTAATTAACTTTTTATGAATTAATTGAAATTTTGACCAAATTAGTAGGCAGTCTTACCCAACTATTCCGCACTATTATACAGGCGTCATCACGTTTCTTAGGTGCGCAATAGTTTTTAGTAATGCAACTCTATTGTAAATGCACTAAAAATAGAAAATAAATTATACACTACTATTTAAATAACTATAAAGAAAATGTGGGTCTCTTCCTAAATATTAGTAAATGTATCCAATAGATACTAAAGTGACCCATGCTTTTCTTTATAATTATAAAAATAGTAGTGTATAATTTATTTTCTACTTTATTAAAACTTTTTAATGAATTTTTTTGTGAGGATTTACGTTGTGTTCGTTATATATAGCCAACGTTTTTTTTATTGGAATCGTAGTTGTATATTGGTAATTGCCGATCTAAATATAGCTTGTGTAGACTTTGTTAGTGAACAGAGATGGATTGCTCCCCATTTCTAAGAAGTGTAATAAGCAAGGATGGCGGAAAAGAGTTGAGGCTATGTATGCATTTAAGACCCTCTGCACATACTGGACGTCAAGAGCACCGTCTACGCTTTCCAAAACAAGACTTATTTTCAGAAACATGAATCCTGTTATTCTCTATGGGTTTGAGACATTGAGACCAACACAAACTAATGACAACGCACTTAAGACTTTTATTAAAGGTCGCCTGAGTCGTATACTGAACATCGGCAAGAAAATCACACACCGGGCCAGGGTAAAAAATAACGGCAAAGAAAAATACAAAGCCACAATTGGCTCTACTTCACTTGCCCCATAGACCGTCAGGTTTGAAAGGGAAACAATAGGGGATGGAATTGGACAGGCCTAGCATAAACCAAGAAACAACACCACCGAGCAGACATTAAATTAGAAACCCCAATGAAAGAGTTAAGCAGGTAGGCCAAATCGTTAGCGTAGCAAGGGGGGGGGGCGCGGGGACATATGTCCCCGGGCGCCGACCTTAGGAAGCCAAATTGGGTTGGAAAAATTAATTGAAAGGTTGTAAATCGAAAGTTTGAGGGGGGGGGGGGGGGGTGCAAATCGAAATCTTGAGGGTGGATGCAAATCGAAAGTTTGGGGGGGGGGGGGTGCAAAAAATCGAAATCTTGAGGGCGGTGCAAATCGTAAAGTTTGTCCCCGGGCGCCGGGAAGGGTCGCTACGCCTCTGGGCCAAACTAACTTGGAAAACAGGTTTTGAAGCTAAAGCAGTCGGAATTTCATGGACCCAGCCTGTAGGAATCATCCAAAAACGAGCATAAGGAAGAGGTGTGGTCACAACACAGTTAATGCTATACTGTATCCCCAAACGTAACTCAATACTTTATCCCTACACGTAAAGCTACACTTAATCCCAACACGTAATGCTACACTTATCCCTACACGTAATGCTACACTTTATCACTGCACGCAATGCTACACTGTATCCCTCAACGTAACTCAACACTTTATCCCTACACGTAATGCTACACTCTATCCCTAAACGTAATACTACACTTTATCCTTGAACGTAATGCTACACTTTATCCCTGCACGTACTGCTACACTTTATCAGTAGCGTAGCGAGGGGGCGGCGGGGGGGGGGACATATGTCCCCGGGCGCCGAGCTTAGGGGGGGGGGCGCCAAATTGAAAGTTTGAGGGGGGGTGCAAATGAAAAGTTCGAGGGGGGGGGGTGCAAATCGAAAGTTTGAGGGGGGGTGCAAATGAAAAGTTCGAGGGGGGAGGGGGGGGGTGCAAATCGAAAATTTTACTCTCGAGGGGGCGCCAAATTGGAAGTATGTCCCCGGGCGCCGGGAAGGGTCGCTACGCCTCTGCACTTTATTATTACACGTAGTGCTATACTGTATCTCTACACTTAATGCCACATTCTATCCGTAAGCCGTAAACGTAATGCTCCTCTTCAACGAGGTGTGCTTCTTCCACCCTTTCATAATGTTGCAGAAACAAGTGCAGCATACGTCATTAAATAGTTCCGTTTCGGCGCCCGGGGCGAACTATCAATTTTGTTCCCCCCCCCCCCCCCCTCGCCGCAAATATTTATTCACGTTAGCGAAAAAGAACCCTCCCCCCCCCCACCTTCCCAGACACACATCACATATCAGTATCCGTTAATAGTTTTTCCCGTATTAAACAAGCAACGTAGAAAGCCGCTCGAAGAACCAAGATAGCTATTTTCTTAAATTCGACTGTAATGCAGCTCGGAATAATGCTATTTTATATTTCTACCCAATTTGGCGCCCCATTAACGCATCCCCAGCCCTACCCTAGCTACGCCACTGCCTATGCACGACCAGTTGACACTTTTTCAGAGTGTTAATTATCTTTTCCACAAATTTAAATCCCCACTTAACCATTCCTTCGTATTTATAAATAAATCAGTCCCTCGACGGTTCGTATGTAAAAAAAAATAAATCGCGCATGTAGGGCACTCGTTTGTCGAAGTACTACGGATACATTATAGGCCTAGGGTGTTTATTGCACACAAAAACCACTGCAACAATTAGATAAACATACGGTGGGCTACCATAGCGTAGACAGGAGCTTGAGGGTGTTGGCTATATAAATTGTATGCAGCCTATAACTCGTCCCACCCCACCTACACACACCCTGCTAAGGGGTCATCCATAAATGACGCCACGCTTTTTTGACGATTTTGACCTCCCCCCCCCCTCCCCTCCGTCACACATCGAAAACAAAAAGCCAGACCCCCTACCCCCCTAAAATGACGTCACACCTCAGCCTACAACCCCCCCCCCCCCCCCCTCAAAATTGCAGTTGAATTTTTCTTAGAGCGAAATAATGTCTAAAATTCGTTTTCTAACATTGTTTTTTTATAATGCAAAAGTGTGACGTTCCACCATCTGAATCCCCCCTCCCCCTCATCACACATCACACACCGTCACAAAATTACGGACCCCCCCCTTCCCCCTACGAGTGTGACGTCATTTATGGACGACCCCCTAACGCCGCATTAGGTCTAATAGCTTGATAAAAAAGTCAAGGCTAACTTTACATATTCGTACTTTGAATAAAATAATGCTGTTTAGTTTATATCATTTTAAAATCATTTTAATATTCTAAAAGTAGCGGTTCAGCAATGTTTTAGCTTTTACACAAGTTCCAAAATGTTTTTTTTAAAGCAACGGTATAAGGGAATGCACTCTTGTTTTAAAGAGTTTTACTTTCAATTTGAATAGTTTCCCTTTTATTTAATTCATTAATTAAGTTAAAATAATATATTTTTTTGTAAATTATTATTCTTAGATCATATAAAATAAACGATGATTGGGTGTCAAATCTTTTCTAATGATCGAAAAGTCTACTAAATATGAAAAAACTAGGCTCCCCAAATTATTCTAAATAAAATTTGTCTTGAATAAGAAGAAACCAAGCCGAAGCGGCGTTACTCTCTTCAATTCTAACTCTTTTACTTATTGAAATCATTTTCTTCGGACGTATTTATCATAAAAGAATTCTTATTTTTTAGCCTGGCGGTATAATGAAAATTTGTTAGACAAGGCCTTGTACTAAAAAATGGCCCCAAAGCCAAAATTCCAAGAAGGTAATTTTTACAGATTATTGTTCACAGTGCTGTACCGTGATACGCATCGAACGTATGCATATTATAATCACCAACAATAAGATAACTAAACAAACACATTCTTCTCATCTATCTCTCTGTCTCACAATCAATGATCTCACGTCTCTGAGTATCATATCTCATAGTTTTTCTTACTATTTGTGAAATCTACTTAATTCTCAATTTAAACATGACAACTGAATAAAAAACGTCCATACTTTATCCTCTAGGCACTAAATTTGGGGGTTGTAGCGAGTTTAGACTAAATTATTGAATTTTAAATTTATTTGTCACTCACAGCTATGATATGACGGATCATCCATGACAACCTGGTTAAAAGTTGAAAGGTTTAACTTTTTAAGTGACCGTGAAATAGATCTAATTTTTTTTCACAAGAGAGTTCCTAAAAGTAGAATTGGCCCGTCTATCGTCGGGTAATATTTTTAGAGGAAAAAAATTTAAGAGAATGTCATCAGAAAAGAATTAAAAAAAAGACAAGACAGAAGTGATTTTTGAATTCTTTTATTTCTTTAATTTTATGACATTTTTTATTGTACAAAAGAGCAAAAAAAAAACCATGCCAGGTAAACGTATCCATTCAAATAGCGGTCACGTGGTCAAAAAAAATAAAAAAAATTTGGTTGTCATTTCTCGGTCGATCTTATAAAAAAACGGTTGAAGATATTTGATTTATTTTTTCATAGAATGATAAAACTAATAATGCTTTACTGTGGAAATCAATTTTGTGATATGGAAATCTATATTTAAAAAGTTATATTATTTTGAATGACACCGACTTTAAATTTAGCCAACATCCCCCAAAGCAATTTTTGAAAATGCTTTTCTGGCATATTTAGCCTTGCCACCTATAGCATGTTTTTATAACGTGAAAACCCGCCATTTTACTCGTGATAAACATTTTTAAAAGTAACTCTAAGAAGGTATCTGGAACTAAGTCGAAAAACTCGCCGGAAGTCATGGTCCGATCCTTACGCCATGTTCTGGTTAGCAACCAAGGACGCTTTTAAGTTAGTGAGCCTCCCTAATATCTCAGTAACTTAAGTTCTTTTCACATAACATCATTCATCAGAGAACATGTCAATTACTGAATAATGTCATAGAATTAAAAATTATTCTTAAATATTAATAGGGATTGGGGGGGGGGGGGTTCAAACATTCCAAACAAGGTTGTGTTCAAAGTTTCACAACACTAGAACAGTAGAACTGGAAAGAAGTTGTCCAATCAAACCCTTACTTATACTTAATTAAAGAAAGTCTGAAGGTATAAAGATACAAAAAGTGTTTGGTTTGTGATAGTTTTTGCAGTTATCTTTGCATTTTACACCACCAAAATAAACTTGGCGAGGAGGAGATGCAAGACAAAAACAAAATAACAGGAGATTCGTAGTATTTTCACCAATCTAGCATTTTACCGCTCGCCTTTTTGCATTTTACAGCTTGTGTTTTCCCAAGACAGAATTAAAATCTATTAGATCTACATAGAATGCCTGTGATAAAGCTATATATTCATAATCGATCTACTACATCTAGCACTTCAAACCAATTCTACATTTAGATCTAGACTAGTAAATTAAGTTGCCAGTTTAATTTTAAATTGTCAATCTTTCAATTTTTATATCAGAATATTGTGGCCTTTTAAATATTAAATTTTGAACCATTGGCCCTATAGACTTAAAGTGAAATTGGACTCTAATTATAAATTAAAGTTAGGGCCTATTCTTAATATGAAAGTCTTTAAAATGATTTGACTTTACAACTCTATGATGTTTACCACTTATTAACCCATTAACATATCCACCCTTTCTTGTACTTAGGAGAGAAGGTTCTTTGTTATCATGGTCCTCTTCTATATGAAGCAAAGGTTGGTTTTAATTTGGTTTTCAAATGTCCTTTTTATCATAATGTTGTCCTCATTAAGTGATGTGTATTATAACTTATCAGTATTAATTATTTTATTGTATACAAATATGTATTTTCTCTTGTTGCTCATTGGTTCTATTTTTAAATCAACAGTGTATGCGGATGGAAGTAAAAGAAGGCAAAGTTCAATATCTTATTCATTACAATGGGTGGAACAAAAAGTAATTTTATGTTTTAAATACCTTATAATCCTAACTTAGTATATCAAGTGACTTGCTTTCGACTTAATCCTTTGAAGCCCCTGAGGAGCAAAGGGCTATATTATATCATGTATTAGCTTATAATTTTTTAAATTTTTCACTTGTTTGCACATTACTTGCCACCCTTTTTAAGACAATGTTGTTTTTACAAGCTTTTATTTAGTTCACAACATCCGTTTCTTTGTTTGTGGCAAATCTTGTAACTCAATTTTGACCAACTTCTAATGCTGCAGTTTTGTTCAAATTTTCCAGTCACCTTTTTCTTGTGGCAATGCATGAATATCTGTTTTCCATCTAATTAGACAATGAATTAGTCATTAAAATCTATTTAAATGGTTTCAAAACTAAGGGGAGATAACAAGATTAAATACTAAATAAATAATGTAAATAAAGTTGGAAAATAAAAGAACTGTTTATCTCTGTTGAAGAAAGAACTCACAATGTATTGTCACATTAATAAATATGAGTTGTTACAGATTGCTATATTCAATAACTGAAAGGGGAGATAACTATCCAAATGCGATCATCTGATGAGCTGAGCCTTGGTTCATGCTTGTTGTTTGATCACGGTTGGTTGGTCTAGTATCGACCAGTTAGAAAGGGCAGACAACTGTCTTTTAGAGATGCCAATCTATTCTAGCGATTGCGTGATGAGCTCACCATAGAGAGTGAACTTTTGTCACGGTTGACTACTACAAAGAAGGAGCAGACAGCTGTCTTTTAGAAATTGCAAACTTGAAATTAGGTTTTAACACAAATATTTTTAGTAGAAGCCTATATAGATCTAGAATTACCAAAAAGTGAAAAATAAAACAATTAATAAAAACTTAATAATAACAAGCTGTTAAATGTACTGAAAAGTAAACAGACTTGCTCTTTTTAATAAAAGGTTTGTTCGTTTATCAGATCTGTTACAAATTTCATCTACCAAACCTCTTATTATAAAGAGAAAGTTTGTTTAATATTCTTATTTTCAGTTCATTTAAAAGCGTATTATTATAACATTTTTTTTTTTTTAATTCAATACCTTTTTGAAAAACTATATCATCTTTGTGTGATAATAAAAAATTTTGTGGGATAAATAATTTAAAACTCCATTCTTAGTATCCAATGTTTTAATTGTTTATTAAAAAGTCATGATTTATAGTGTTTTGCTTATTTTCAGTTGGGATGAGTGGGTACAGGAAAGTAGAGTGGTCAAGAATAATGAGGCAGGAATTCAAAAACAAAAGGAGTTGCTGAAAAATCATGGGTAAAAACAAATTGTATTTGATTAAAATGGCTGATTTGTTTGCTGTACTGGGTTAACCTTTTTGTTGGAGTAGACCACCTCATCTTTGATTATTACAATTTTTTTATATCTCACCATATCTATAAATTCTCTTTTAATCATTAATCATGTGATACCTATTATCTGGTCTTGATTGATCTTGTCAGAGCTCAGTTGACTCTTAGAGGTCTCAAATACGCTGTTGGCTGCATTTAAATATATATTTTATGTTAAAAAATTGTTAGGCAGTCTTAAGATTATTAAAGTTAGACCAAACAATAATTTAAACATTAGTTTAACATGAGTAAGGGAAAAAGTACTTCAGTGTAATTTTCTGGTTTTGAGAAACACTAGTTCAAAGTTTTTAAAATGTGATGTTGAAATATTTAGTATTTTTCAATATTCATATGAAATTAAAGCACTTTTTTCATGTCCAAAGTGATTGTTTGATAGATGTAATAAAATATTAATCAGGTCGTAACTCATTTTTGAAAATATGTAACTAAAGTACTTTTTTCACTGAGGCCTTTATGTTGTTCCCTCTTTCTCCTGTGCTCAGTTTATTTTTGTTTTCAGTGCACAGACAAAGAAAAACAAAGCAGCAAAGAAGTTGGAGAAGGACGCAACTAAAGCAAAGACCCTAACACCAGGAGGTAAGGAGAAAGAGAAAGATAAGGATAAAAGTGCATCCAAAGACAAGGAATCCAGCAAAGAGGGCAAGGAGAAAGACAAATCAGTTGGAGAGAAAACTCCTAAGGAGAAGTCAACACCTAAAGAGAAAAAAGAGAAAGATAAAGAACCTCGTCAAAGGCCTTCTACTCCACAGCTCTCTACTGGTGATAAGAAAAAGGATAAGGAAGTGGATAAAGAAGCAAAGGATAAAAAGGAATCTAAGGAAAAAATCTCTGAAAGTAAAATAATTTGGGTTTTTTTCCTTTTAACCACATTACATTCGATAATTTCTCTTTAAAATACATGTCGACCCTGCTATATCTAACATAAAAATTTGTTTGTTTGTTTCTATCTACCATAGTTTTTTCATTGAGGAATCTTTTGTTATAATTTGCATGAAATTCCATTCAGCCATTCCCAGCGCTCAGTCAACACCAGTAGTTAGCCAGGACACATCGCTGTCATCGCAGACCAATACCTCCGCTGGGGAGCCTAAAAGAAAGAGAGCTCGGCTAGACCCTACAGTTGAAACAGTAAGTAAATATTCTGTGCTCAACTTTATTTCCTTTGGATGGTTTAGGCTGACTCTTCAGTATTAAACAGATTAAAAATGGTTGCCAAATATTTGAGTATTGATTTTTGTATGTATAATCTTCAATAGCAAATGTCCAACAGCAATATTAATATTTTTAAAGCATCAAAATAACATCTGTAACATTAAGGCTGTGTGTTATTTAAACCCCTTAGTAAAAAAATCTAGAAAAAGTTAATCCTGTGTACTTTCCAGCACTTTAATATAGTAATTTTTTAATATGTTTATTTTGTTTTGATTACCATAATTAAAATAATTCACAGTTCTTTTGTTCTGAAAGATGATTATATACCTAGTAATTTTAGGCCTGCATGCTATCATCTATGTAATTCTTTTATGTGCTTCTGAGTGTATTTTATGTGAGTGCTATAATATTATTGTGTATATTTTTTCGGGTTCTATTTTATGGGAGCAGGACACTTTCCCCAACTCCCTGTCAAGTACCACCCCTAGTTATATATTAGTGTTAGTTACCATTACTGCTTGATTATTGCAAACTTAATTATTTTTTTGTTTTTGCTTTCATTATATTGTATGGATGTTGTTTGCCAGTGTATTTGTTTTTAATCACACTCTGATACCTATATGCCATTGAACAAATGTATTTGTATATTTGAGTTGAACTATTCTCTGATACCTTTGTGTCTTCCCCCTGATGCAGAAGCCGTCATCTCTATTGTTTCAGGAAGAAACATACCTGTCTAAGATAGAGGTCAAGATCAAGATACCTGAGGATATTAAACCTGTTCTTGTGGACGACTGGGATCTCATCACAAGACAAAAAATGGTGAATCTTGTTTTTTCATGTCTCAGATTTACCTCTGTTTACCCTTGTTTTTAATTATTCTATATTTAACCCTATATTTAATTAATTATTTAAGCTAATTAAATTTATTTTTAATTTTACACATCTTTTCTTAAAATACTGCTGGTCATTATTTTGTACAAAATTTTTAAAAAGTATTGTTGTCCTTTTAAGTTTGCTTTTTAAATTGAAATCAATTTACCATTGCTTATATTTTATCATTGTAATATGTTCAGTCACTCTTTATTTGATCAAACTGTTTGTGTTTCAGCTGGTCACCTTGCCATGTAAACAGACAGTAGATGATATTATTGATGACTACATCAAGACCAAAACCTCCAAGAGCACCAACATCAACAAGTGAGTTTTTACTTACCAACAGACTATCACTCTTACTGAGGTGACTTATGTGTAAAAAAGTAAAGTTCCCTTTTCAAACCTGACGGTCTATGGGGCAAGTGAAGTAGAGTTCACTTGTTTCTGTGACCTTGGCATATGAAAAGATTGTGTGGTCAACACTATGCCCAGCCGCCTTTACTTTCCCTAACGTGATTTAGATACCCATCAGAGTTGGGTGGACTAAGGGGCTGTCTACTGACTTGAACCTGGATTCGAACTGAAGACTTACGAGTCAGCAGTCCAGCTTTCTACTGCTAGACCACTCCGTCCCATAGACTGTGTACAGTCTGAAAAAAACCTGTCTTCATCACTTAGTCATCTGTGTTGAGCCATAGTAAGTTTTGATGCTAAATGTTTCTGTTTCTTGCCATTTAAGTCTATCTTCTTTTTTCTAGTGCTTGGTATTCTAACTTTATCCTTTCCAACCCTAAATTCAGAGGTTTACAGTTTCCTATTCTTTTTAAAATCAAATTCTCCTATTTAAAAAAAAGTTTTCAGCCAAAAATATCAATGAAATACTAGATTAATTTTAAAATGTTTCAATTTTTATGTAAAGTGTTGTTTCCTAGAAATTTCCAGTTGGAAAAAACCTTAAGTTGTATGGGGAAATTTATCTAGGCATCATAAATCTGGCACAGAATCTTTTTCAGATATAGATTTTATTTGGGTGATCACTATCATTTCTACCTACTACATTTGTTGTTTAATATTTCTTTTGGACTGTGATATCATTTGACAAATGGCAACTGCAAGCAATATAACTAACTGGCAGTATAGCTAAGATTTTATATTCCCATTTCTGAATTGAATGGATTTTTTAACCCATTAGCTTTAACTGCTATAGACAGAACAGATGATAAATATAAGTTATCTTTTTCAGCTAAAACAAACTGAATAAATTCTGGTCAATTACTAATCAAAGCACACGTTCCCAAACGTTTTTTGGTGATGACACCTGTTTATAAGTTATAAGTCAAATTGTTGCAACCCCATACAATTACAAAATTTATTGTCTTTGGTTTTGTCTACAAGTTGGCTACTCCTGGAAAACCTTTGAGATCACGACCCATAGATTAGTAACTCTTGATATAAAGTATAGAAAAAAAATTCTCTAACATTTTTTAAAAAAATCTAAATTTGGTCTTAATTGAGTTTATCTTTTACCATTTGTAGTACAATCTGATTCCTGTCTAGCCATTAAAATGTCTGTACTCTTTGATAAAAATGTGCTGTATATAGGGCTGGTAAGTAGGTCACCAACCATTTCTACGGCTCAATAAAACCTGCATGAGCCATAGAATTGTTTATTGACCTACTTACCAGCCCTATAGCCAAGTGTAGAGTTGTTTCAATAGTGTTTAATGTGATGATTGGGTTGCCATTAAAATGTTTATACACTTTATGTTTGCTGTATAGAGCCAGGTATAGTATTGTTTAAAAGTATTTAATGTGATCATTGGGTAGCCATTAAAACATAAGTTCACTAAAATAAAGATGTGCTGTATGCCTATATACCCAAGTTTAGTGTAGCTTTAAAGTGGCCATTAAAATGTTTGCCTCACACAGAGATGCCATGGCAGAAACAATGCTGGGCTGTAAAGATTATTTCAATGTTATGCTGGGCTCTCAGCTCCTCTACAAATTTGAAAGACCTCAGTACAGTGAGGTAAGCTTTTTTCTTGAGTTTGTAAAGGGGAAATAATCAAATGGAAGTAACAATATAATAATTCTTACATATTTTATGAGTAGTGTCCCTTTGATTATTTTTTTTTTATAATCCACAAATTTAAATTTATTCATTCACTATTATATTGCATTAAAATTAAAAATCTGCTTGTATATCATTTAAAATATGTTGTATTGCCAGATATTATCTGAGTTTCCTGATAAGCCAATGTCTAGCATTTATGGTGCCATCCATCTTCTCAGACTATTTGGTAAGTGACTTGACATTTAACTGCAAGTTTCTGTTGTACATATTTGTTTCATTCAAGTTAGTTGATGTGGTGAAGAAATCTTCTGGTAACAATGCAATGATGCTGTGCATGGCTTTAAATAAAACCTACGTGTTATGCTAATCCACCCAGTGGTATAATCAGAATACTGTCATCATGTGGGGAGGGGGCTCAACTTTTTCCCCCATATGGATATACAACTATCTTGCATTACGTAATAGTGTTTTTAACCTAAAATTGTGATTTTATGACACTCAAATTTTTGGAACAAAAATCACTTCAGACAACATTTGTGATCAGTCACCTTATGCTTTAACTTTAATGTGATACATTTGTTATTTTGGCTGAACCATTTATTTAGGTTGGGGGTGCAGGGGGTTTAAATTTAAAGTCTCCAACACTGTCTCTACCTGTACCACTATTCTATATCTCTCCTGTTGTTTCAGTTCGACTGGGCAATATGCTGGCCTTCACATCCCTAGATGAAAGGACAGTTCATATCTTATTAAACTATATCCATGATTTCTTAAAGTAAGTGCCTGCTTACATATAAATAGGTAGTTTTCTTGTTGTTAGGTTTATTCTCCTTAAATTGATTTTCCTTACATCATCGCCTCAAATAATTTCATATTAGTTTACCTTCCATTACTAACTTTAGCTGTGTTTGTTTCAGATATTTATCTAAAAATGGAGCCGCCCTTTTTAAAATTTCCAACTATGAAATAGCCCCCCCTGATTACCACAGAAAAGCTATATAGTTTTATGTAGTTGACATGTATATCTAATTGTCATTTTCATGTCATTGACATCTGTAATTGTCATTTTGATCTAATTAAAATTGTTTCATAAAAATCTGGGTCTTGTTTTTGTCGTGACTTAGTATTGCATGCAGTTAATAATGGTCAGGTAAATGACGTCCATCCATGACTCAGGTACTTGGGTGACATCTAGCTATAGCACAGGTATAGACATCTAGCTATAGCTGAGGTATAGATATCAAGCTTTAGCTCAGGTATAGACATCTAGCTATAGCTGAGGTATAGATATCAAGCTTTAGCTCAGGTATAGACATCTAGCTATAGCTGAGGTATAGATATCAAGCTTTAGCTCACGTATAGATATCACACTATAGCTCAGGTATAGACATCTAGCTATAGCTCAGATATAGATATCAAGCTTTAGCTCAGGTATAGATATTAAGCTATATCTCAGGTATAGACATCTAGCTATAGCTCAGGTATAGATATTAAGCTATATCTCAGGTAGAGACATCTAGCTATAGCTCAGGTATAGACATCAAGCTATAGCTCAGGTATAGACATCAAGCTATAGCTCAGGTATACTAGCTTGAAGCCATACACCCAATGTGATACCAGGCACTGCAGCTATAACTGTCTAACTTAAAGCCCCTCAGTATTAGTGGCTACATCTGCAGATTAAATATAGATGTTATATAAACCATCTCTATGTTTCTACCCAGTTGTTCAATGTATTCTAGTATTCACTGATGCTACTAAAGTTACTTTTCTGTTTGACTACCACAAGAACTTTCATTTCCATGCAAGACAATTTCAGACCAACAATGTGGGTGGGGCCTATAAGTATTTATTAGCAGCTTAAAGTTTTTTTTTTTAATTAAAATTTTAATAGAAAAAAACTGAAATTAAACTTCCATAAAGATTTCTAAATTCAGATGGTTGCACTCATTGGCTTGTTCAATAGTTGTCAAATCCAGTTTCTGACTGTAGGGGAATGAACTTTATTTTTGAAGCTATGCTGCGTCAATAATTCACATACACTGAACTTTAAAATTTGTTCAATTTTCAACATGTCTGATAATTTGTGAAAAAGTTTTTAAAAAATGACTGACTTGGGTGTCAAGTTAACAGGTTAACGGCCAACAGACACTCAAGTACAATAATTCGAAAATATTTCTCCTAGTTCTCGCCCTTTGTATGGGAGATATTTTGAAATATTTAAAAAAAAACGAACCCATTTCGTTCATTTTCAATTGCGAGTTAGCCGAGAAGTTAGTCTGCTCTAGCTTTAAAAAACTGTTTTTTTTTTCGAGAGGTGTGGGTGGAACATATAATCAAATTTTCCCCCCTTGTGGGTGCTGATTATTGTGAAGAAGTCGTTATTTTCTGCACAGACGTGCCATTGTCACCGAAAACCGTCTGCTAATTTCCTCGAAGCCCGCGAAGGGAGTGAGATGTGATTGGTGCTTTCTTTTTTTTAAACGGCAACAAAAGATATTGGCACACGTGCACGGTACACTTAGCAGTTTCTTGTGGGTTTTCGTCAAGCAGGTGCATTGAGGTACAAGTAAAGCCCAAGTCTTTAAAGTGGTGCGGGGTGTTTTTAGGAGTGTTGAACGATGGTCTACACTCTACACAAAGCATGTTTTTAGTGGCGTTTAATTTGTAGTGAGTCATTCCTAGAGTCATCCCTACAATTTTAAGTAATGAGTCATTTTATTGTCCACTGTACAATATTTAGAGAATTGTATTGAAAATATTATTTTTGTTTTCTGAAATTGTATTTGAAAAAAAATTATTTTAAAAATCCATGAGTGTATACTTTACATCTCTTATTTTTAATATAAGCCGCTAGGTAGTGTGTCATTCCGTCATTCACACTTCGTTAGAAACCCTTATGCTACTTTGGTGACGTGGAAAAGTCTGCTGGGAATGATAAATTAATGAGGAAGTCTCCAACCGGCACTAGACGTATCAACAAGCTAGTGGTAGTATATATTTGATCTACAAACCTTCATAATTCTACCATTCGAGTTTTTTATATACAAACCTTAATAATTCTACCATTCGAGTTTTTTATATACAAACCTTCATATTTCTAACATTCGAGTTTTTTATATACAATCCTTAATAATTCTAACATTCGAGTTTTTGATATACAAACCTTCATAATTCTAACATTCTAGTTTTTGATATGCAAACCTTCATAATTCTAACATTCCAGTTTTTTAAATACAAACCTTCATAATTCTACCATTAGAGTTTACTGGTCTGTAGTATCTTTTTGTGTGAGACTTCCTTATTTTTAGGATAAAAACTTGTGGGGACAGTCTAGCAAACGAAGACCTAACTCAATATTTGGTGGTTAACTATACCAAGCACATTGATTACATAGCCCTATTGTTTTTCTACATACAAAAACTGTACCCAATCAGGGTGTTTCCGGTTGTTGATTCCTAGGTTAGGTAAAGCATCAGTCCAAAGAAGTAAACATGTAAACTCCTCAAGAGTTATTTGAAGCTATAATAAAACAAAAATTTAAACTTTTTTTTAAAGCAACAAGCTTTTAAATACACTGAAAATGAGAAAATAAAGTGTATTTGCTTTATTTAATAAAAGCTTTTGTCGCTCGTATGATATTTTACATATTTTAGCGACAAAAGCTTTTACTAAAGAAACAAATACACGTTGCGAACTAAATAAAAGCTTACAAAAATACACGCCCTTTTCATTGTTAGCTTTATAGATAGCGCAACTCGTTTAAATAGCAAAATGTGAGTTTTGAGCTAAAACAGCGCTATCAACATCACAACACCATTGAAACAACAGAGTAACCTAGGTGTGAGATACCACCAACCCTGATGGATTTAACACCCACCCCGACCACCACCCCTCCCCGTGTCAGAGGTGTCATGTCAGCCACGGCTCACCAATCCAAGCAACAGAACTTTTCTTTTGTTGAAATCCACCCGCAGTCATCCGGAACGGCCTGTCGGGACCTGACTAGTGAAACGGATCTATCCCTAGGCGAGCCTACCAACGCAAATAACCGGCACTGCGCGTCGTGCTAGGAATACAGAACGTGCTTGACATGAGGGGGGAGCTCCAGGTAGATTTGTCTCGCTGGGGAACTCATCACATCACCGGCAGTCAATGGCTTAAACTCGGCCTTTTAGATCAACGTTTAAGAAATGTGGGGGGTGTTTTTATAAGGCCTGTTATCTGCTGATAAGAGTTTGAAAATCTTTATTCCAGACACCTATGCCAGAATATTTTAGGACACTCCATCTTTATTGGCTCACATTGAGGTCTATGCTACATTCCCCCTGCCCCCCCCCCCCCCCCCCCAACAACTGAACAATGTGTTGTATTTTTAAATAAACAATATGGTTGAAAATCGGGCACACGTACCGGTTGGGGGGGGGGGGGGGGGGGTAGGGTAGACATTTAGTTTTTGTTTTTTTCCTTTACTAGTATAAGTGACATTATTTGTCCTCATTATATCTCACCCCATTTCTAAAACTGTTTACCAAAAGCGGTACTAGAAAAATAAATTCAATTGGAAACCAAATTGCCTTTTTTACTTTATGAAAGAATTTCATTTTTATCTAAAAACGATTTAAGTCCATCTTGAAAATGATGAATCTTTCTTCTAATATTTATTAATGTTGAAGACTATTTCCCAACATTATCAAGTACTTCGCGTTAACGTGTTATGTGCCATATGGCCTGTTGACTACGACTTCAGACTGCATTCTGGGGTTTACTTCCATAGGGTAGCTTTTTTTTTTACAATAATTATTTATTTATTCCTAATGTCTGTCCAGTGCTCTTTCACAAAATGGGTATTCTAGGGTTTCAAATGGTAGTGATTTTATTAATACTAGCATTTTATTCTACTTGTCGCAGTAGACAACCAATCAGCTGTAGCTTTTCAGGTGGCTGGTCATCCATGTTTGTTCTTTACTTTAAGTTCTTCATGCCTCTTTCTTCATAGACTATGCACTCTCTCACTCTGCTTTCTATATAAACCTGAATTTATCTCAAACTGCATTCTTACTTTCTCCATGATCTTCTGCGTGTATTTTAAGATTCTCTCACTCTTCACTCTACTTCCCCTACAAACCTGTATTTATCTCACTCTTCATGCTTTCCATGATCTTATGCGTGTATTTTAAGATTCGCCCACCTCTCCACAGTATGGACTGGGACTGGGGGGGGGGGGTGAGGGATGCTGTAATGATTGAATCGAGGGGTCACGTCAACATGGAACTAGAACGGTACTACAGCCGTTAGTTTGTGTAAACTTTCCAGGTGGTCTCTGCAGACAGTAGAGGCGGGAGGGGGGTGGTCTTTTAGAACAGTGTAGATTTTCTGACAGATTGCTGTGTTACCTGATGTCTTATTTGTTGTAAAAAAATTATTGCCATGTGATTTTCTTGGTTGGTACAGAAGAACATTTGTCACGTTGTTTTCGTAATGTTTTGGAGTAACCATATATGTAAAGTGAATTTTTTGTTTGTTATAAAACAATATTTGAAATGTGAATATTTTGTTTGTTGTAAAACAATATTTGTCATGATGTTTTTTAAATGTCGAGGTTTTAACGGTTTCTTTCAGACTTTTTTTCGCCGGGGGGGGGGGTACACTTGAAACTTTCTTGGTGGGGGTTTGACTAACTTTTCCGAGGGGGGGGGGGGAGGAGGCGGAGGACATTGGTAAAAGTATATATTTTCTCTGTATAAACTATATTGTTTGGGGGAGGGGGCGGTAGACGTGTTTCGGTTGGAGGAAGGGGGGGATCCGTAAGAGATGCCTGAAAGAAACACTGCTTTTTACACAGCTGTTTCCCATCTACAGCAGCTGTTCATGTATACACAAGTTCAAGCCACAACTGTTTACCATCTACACTGTAGTGAACCTAGCGAAAATTTTAAAAATACTACCATCTATGTTCAATTAAAACAGAACAATTTAACATGTCCATTTCGGTTGATTATTTATGGATAAAATACTTGATCTCCGTCACCCACAAAAACACATATTATTTTTAAACTAGGCAAACTTTCGGCTACATCATATGTTGTGTTGTACATAA